CACAGAATTCACATTGCTTGAGGTCCAGTGTCAAGTTTCCACAGTCACTGGGGTGTCATGTCAGCTGCTCGTGTTGGTCCACTGTGTTTTATCAAGTGCAGGGTCAATGCAGCTAGCTATCAGGAGATTTTGGAGCACTTCATCTGCTGAAAAGCTTTATGGAGATGAAGATTTCATTTTTCAGCACGACCTGGCACCTGCTCACAGTGCCAAAACCACTGGTAAATGGTTTACTGACCATGGTATTACTGTGCTCAATTGGCCTGCCAACTCTCCTGACCTGAACCCCATAGAGAACCTGTGGGATATTGTGAAGAGAAAGTTGAGAGACCAAGACCCAACACTCTGGATGAGCTTAAGGCCGCTATCGAAGCATCCTGGGCCTCCATAACACCTCAGCAGTGCCACAGGCTGATTGCCTCCATGCCACGCCGCAATGAAGCAGTCATTCATGCAAAAGGATTCCCGACCAAGTATTGAGTGTATAACTGAACATGATTATTTGAAGGTTGGCGTTTTTTGTATTAAAAACACTTGTCTTTCATTGGTGGGATGAAATATGCTAATTTTTTGGGACAGGCATTTTGGGTTTTCATGAGCTGTATGCCATAATCATCAGTATTAAAACAATTAAAGACCTGAAATATTTCAGTTGGTGTGCAATGAATCTGAAATATATGAAAGTTTCATTTTTATCATTACATTATACCATACCATACCATACCATACCAATTTATTTATATAGCACTTAAAACAGCAACAAGGCCAACCAAAGTGCTGTACAAAAGAACACAAACATGCACAGCGAACAGGAAAACATAAAATAGAAATACAGATACAAATAGCAGCAGAAGCTAACTAAAATGGCCAACAGAGTAGAGAACAGACCGGACCAAAACAAATCACACCGTGTTAAAGGCAAGCAAATAGAAGTGGGTCTTCAAGCGAGACTTAAAGACTGAGAGTGTGGGAGCCTGCCGGACACTCAGTGGCAACTCATTCCACAGTCGTGGACCTGCAACAGAGAAAGCCCTGTCACCCCTGAGCTTACGACAGGTTTCTGGGACTGAGAGAAGCATCTGGTCTGCTGACCTCAGAGAGCGCGGTGGGACATATGGCTGCAGAAGATCAGTGAGATAGGATGGGGCGGAACTGTTCAGTGATTTAAAAACGTACATGAGAATTTTGAAATGGATCCGAAGGTGAATGGGTAGCCAGTGCAGGGAGGCCAAAACTGGCGTGATGTGCTCTCTATAGCCTGTACCAGTTAAAAATCGGGCTGCAGCATTTTGGACCAGTTGTAGACGAGCAATGGAGGACTGACTGATTCCAAACAGAAGTGAATTGCAGTAATCAAGCCTAGATGTTATGAAGGCATGGATCACTGTCTCGAGGTTCTTTTTGTTGAGTATAGGCTTCAGCTTAGACAGCCGTCTCAGCTGAAAAAAACAGGATTTGACCATCATGTTTACGTGACTGTTGAGTTTTAAGGACGGGTCCATTATCACCCCCAGATTTTTGTTTCTCTAGCGGGGCTAGAGAGAAAAGGTCAATGTCATGGTTCATGAGTGAGCCACTGGGATGGAACAGCATGACTTCAGACTTCTTCTCATTGAAGCTTAAGAAGTTTAAAGCCATCCAGTCCCGGATGTCAGCCAGGCAGTCAAGAAGAGGCTGAATAGAGCGTGTGCCTCTGTGCCTCAGGGGGAAGTAAATTTGGCAATCATCGGCATAGAAATGAAAGGGTATGTCGTGTTTGCGGAAGATAGCACCTAGTGGCAGCAGGTATAAAGAAAAGAGAAGGGGACCGAGGATGGACCCCTGCGGTACCCCCCACTGGAGCGCTGTCGATGCCGAACTAAAATCTTTGATATTGACACAGAAGGTTCTGTCAGAGAGGTAGGACCCAAACCATTTAAGGGCTGACCCTGTGATGCCCACCCACTGCTCCAGTCTAGAAATGAGGATCTTGTGGTCGATGGTGTCAAAAGCAGATGTAAGGTCCAATAGGACAAGCAGCACAGAATCACCTGCGTCTGTGGATATGAAAATGTCATTAAAAACCTTCAGTAGAGCAGTTTCAGTGCTATGGAGAGATTTGAAGCCAGATTGGAATAACTCAAGGATAGCGTGATCCCCCAAAAACTGTTTCAACTGAGACTCCACAATTTTTTCCAGTTGTTTAGAGGTGAATGGGAGTCTGGAGACAGGCCGGAAGTTGGACATGACTGAGGGGTCAAGGTTAGGTTTTTTCAGGAGGGGCTGGACAGCAGCATGTTTAAACGTCTTTGGCACCACACCTGAGGATAAACTGCTATTCAGAATAGTGAGGATAAAAGGACCCAGGGTAGGAAAAACTTCCTTTAGTAGTCGAGGGGGGACCACATCAAAGGGGGAACCAGATGGCTTCATGCTGCACATTACCTGCTCCAGAGAGGACAGAGAGATGGGCTCAAAGTGGTCAAACACAGCCACACACTGAGAAGGGATAGACAGATCATGAGCTGGTGGAGAAATGAGTGCCCGGGTGTTTGCCACTTTTTCTAAAAAGAAATGGAGGAAGTTCTCACACAGCTCAGTTGAGGCTTCCAGAGGTGAAGGCTCACTGAGGTGTAGAACTGAGTTCAGGGTGGAGAAAAGAACTCGGGGGTTGTGGGAATTTGAGACAATTAAATCAGAAAAGAATTTACATTTGGCAGCTTTAACGGTTTTCTGATAGTGACGCCAACTCTCCCTTAACATTTGAAAAGACACCTGGAGCCTGTCCTTCCTCCACTTTCGTTCAGCTTTGCGACACTGCCTCCTAACGGCTCGCGTGACGTCATTCAGCCAAGGCTCTGATTTAAGTTTCGTTTTTCTGGTCTTAAGGGGAGCAACACGGTCCAGAACATCTAAACAGGCAGAGTTGAACTGAGAGGTTAGCTCCTCAGTGGTAAGAGACACCGGGAACTGTTCGATCCTCTCAGAATTAAAACCTTCGTTAAAACGAGCAGCAGTGAAACGGTTAATGGAACGCGTACGTGCAGGAACGCACGTCTTAGCAGTATGACAAGGGGGGGTGAAGTCAAACAATACAGGCATGTGATCTGAAAAAACATTGTCACCGATTTTCAAATTAGAAACAGAGACATCGCGTGTTAAAACGAGGTCCAGCGTGTGACCATGTTCTTGGGTGGGGCCGCTCACCTGCTGAGCTAAGCCAAAAGAGTCCAATAAATCCAGAAAGTCCTTCACTAAGGGCTTCTCCTGACAACACACATGCAAATTAAAGTCACCAATAAGCAAAAAGTGAGTGTATCTTTGTGTGATATCAGCCAAAAAGTCAGAGAATTCATTTATGAAGTCCTTAGAACGAGGTGGGCGGTAGATGAGCGCACACAGGACCGGAGGAGAGTGTCCAAGTTCAAAGGCGCTCAGCTCGAAGCTGGCGCGGGACACCGGGATGGACAACTGTTTACACGCAAAGTTTGCTTTAAAAACTGTTAATAATCCGCCCCCGCGCCGACCTGATGGCCGCGGGGCATTGCAACATACGCAGTCCGGAGGAAGTAGTTCCACCAGGGCGCTGGACTCACCATCAGAAATCCAAGATTCTGTGACGAACAGAAAATCCAACTCCTCATCTTTAAAAAAGTCATTGAGGATAAACGTCTTGTTGGAAACAGACCTTGCATTGATTAAACACATCCTGATATTGTCCGACAGGCACAGCCGTGGAGGGAGACGCGCGCGCCAGCGGGCGCAGGTTATGAAGAACAGCTCCTCCTGGTCTGCTGGTGCGGCGCACAGGTAAACAACTCCAGGTGTTTCCATGGACTGAGCGCGCGGGCAGCTGGCCAGCAGCCGGGCCCCGGGAGCACCACGGGTCAGAGAGGAGATGATCAGATCCAGAGCGAGTCCTGTTAGAATAATCCACACTTTGCCTCAGTTTCACCAAAATCCCTGCACGCTTCCCACGACGTCTGCGACGTTTCCTCCATGGAGAAAGGCCAGGGTCACGCAGAAGGAACGCAGGAATCTCAGATAGGACCGGTGGGGGAGAGTGCTGACCGCTGTTCAAAAACTCCACGGGAATTTCAGCAAAAGTACGGAGCTCCAAAAGTGCCCGACGATCATACTGAAAATATGACTCGGCACACTGCACAAACCATTGTAAAAATAACAAAAATAAAATACAAGCAGAGAGCGAGAGACGGGCAGCCCTACACACCAGCTCCATCTTGGAATCCAATTATGGAAAATAATGACCTTTATCACAATATGCTCATTTTTTGAGAAGGACCTGTATGTTATATTATGAATAAAATATTGACCTTTGCCATCTCCACATCATTGCATTCAGTTTTTATTCACAATTTGTTTAGTGTCCCAACTTTTTTGGAATCTGGTTTGTACTTATACAGCACCTTTCTATCTTATCAAGATACTCAAAGCGCTTTACAACATACTCTGTGCCCTCATTTACCCATTCGTACAGTACTTTAATAGATCTCTACAAAGAATAATCAGAGCTTTATCACATTCATACACTGATGGACACACATAGGAGGCAACGAGAGATTCAGTGTCTTGCCCAGGGACACTTCAGCTTGTGACTGCTGGTGGAATCGAACCACCAACTCTTGCATTGGAGGATGACTGCTCTAACCACTCAGCCACAGCAGCACCAATACACTGAAAGGAATCTAACCACAGCACTGACTAATACATGAAGGCATTTTATATACTTAATCTCTAATTTTTAAACCATCAGGTGAAAGTTTATTATACAAAGTAGTGATGATCAAAGTTGGATTGAATGCTGAAGGTTGTCTATAATTTTAGGATATATTTGTCACAAAGTGTAAAAGTTGTACTAGCAAAATAAATGTTCTAGTTTTTAAAGAACAAAAAGTTTAACAGTAAGTTGTATAAAGACGTCTTTACTCTGCAGGAACAGTTTTTTTTTTTTTTTTAACAGTAAAATGACTAAAAGCTCTCTGATGTATGCTCTGCTTCAGACTTTCAGTCCTTTTATAACCTTCTGAAGAACTGTCGGGGGCACCTTGGTGAGCACTCAGTTTTTAGTGAAAGAACAGAGGAGTCCTCTGCTGTACAGTATTTCCAGGTGAGTAGATTTACATTTCAATTCAATTCAGTTTATTTACCGTAATTGCTGTGTTCAAGCCACTACTTTTTCTTACACTTTGTACCCCGTGGTTTATATGCAGGAGCGTGTTTTTTTTTTTTCTTCATAATTTTCACAAGTTGTATCTTTATATTTTATTTTGATGGACGTCCTGCCGTCTCTCAGTAACTTCCTACCGCTAACCTTTTCATTTGACGAAGGCTAGGCACTCATGGCTCCCAGCATCCCGCCCCTCTTGGGGGCAAGCATTTGTGACGCAGTAAATGCCCTCAGGTATCCACCTGTACAACAACTCTTGCTCAGGGTTTCAAATTCCCTATTCCACCCACTCTGTCATCATGTGACCATAAGTCTAACCTGAATGACCAATGAGGTATACTCTCAAGGACCATCCCCCAAGAAAGACGTGCATTAATTTCTTAAGAACGTCTTGTGTCATTACCATATTTTGCGCTTCGTGCACAGACCTGTTAATTTGTTCAGCGATAATGGAAAACACACTGAAAATTTCTTACGATGCAGCTTTAAAGTCAAAAGTGATGGATCTGGCTTGTGAAGAAGGACACACAACTGCTGCCCTTCAGCTTTGCATGAACATGTCGATGGTCGGACATTGGAGACGCAAAATAGTCAAGTCTGGTGCATGTCTTTGTAGCGTCCATCCTTCCAAGAACCTTAAGACAAATGTCCTCAGAGTCACTATGTCTCCCCTACCCTCTCCTTTCCTACTAATCTGGGACAGATACTGGCATCTTGCTCTGACACAGGAAGTTTCTTTGTTAACCTTTTGTGACTTGACTTGACTTCTATGTTGAGTCACCTGACTTGAGACTCCTGAAGAACGGTCTTGATCAAAGAGCTTCACTTGGCCTTATCAACAGAGACTGGTCGCTATGACAGTAAAGGAAGTTAACCCCCAGTTGAAGTTCTGATTCAAAGAAACTTATATTGTTTGTATCAGCATGATGTCACACATCCTTAACAAAGGGTCATTGTATTATCTTCTCTGAAGAACTTTGAGAAGGGAGATTTTAATTACATTAATTATACAGTGGGATACTCCTACTGTAAGAAGCCCACTGATTGGTTAAAAGTTAAGGGGCCCGTCTTCCTGCTGCCAGGTATACTGAACACCAAGGGAGTTGTGAGATGGCAGCCGATGAGGAAAGTTGGCTTTGGATCATCAGCTGAGCAGATGGAACGAGTGGTTGTGGAGAGTTAATGAGACTCTCTGAGAAACAACAGCCATATGATGGAAGACATGTCCAGTTGAGAGATGGTGGACATCCTGAAAAACCTCAAACACCCTGGAGCTAAAGGTACGAGCCGAACAAACCACAGCCCTGAGAAACGACATCCTTCTTGGGACAGCGGGCCACCGGCTTCCTTCATGCATCCGTTGTGATAATGAGAGATGAACATCTTCCATCTGATGAGAGGACCACGAAACAGTGCCAACTAAGTTTGTTTAGATAATTTAATTCATGAATCTGAGATAAACTTACCTTAATTTTAATGTTAAGAACTAGACCTTAGTCCAAATTGAATCAAATTTCCTTCTCAAAGTCTTCAGATTTATGCATTTACTTTCTAAAATAATATTATTGGTTCATATTCATGTTCAATATTTGCCATAATTTTCATGTCATAATTCAAACTGAAAATAAACATACAGAACTGCATTTAAATTACGGATTCTTCGTATTTTCTTCGAGGGACAGGAATTAAGTTTGTTACAAGAACTCATGGTTTATGTATGTTTGAGGTGAGGCCGGTCCAGAGCAAAACCTGTTAAAGGGTATGGGTTTGACCGGACCAGAAGTCCAATATCCTGTACATGTATTCCCCTACATTCTCTGTAAACGAACGTTTAATTCACCCACGGAAAAGCAGAAGAATGTTTTTAACACGCTGATTAATTTTGGGCTGAGTTGAGCGAAACAGTTTGACTTTCCAACCCGCTGGTCTGATCAGCCAGGTGGAGGAGAGGAGCAGACCTCTGCGGGTCTGTATTTGTTTACATTCTGAAATGCTGAAGTGGCCGCCGAGCCGCTGTGTTTCTGTGTATCTTTGAAGGTAAAAGCTGGTTTATTTTTCTCAGAATTGTGTTTATTAAAATGTCTAAAAACTGGTACTCTAAAAACATTGCTTAGCGCTGATGATAAGGATTTAATCCGGAGTTTGATGCATGCATATTTGATTAAAAGGCCTTAAAGAGTGAACGTTTTCATCTCCTGATGATGGAGTTTGAACGGAGATCACAGGGGTTATGTCATCACAAACAGTCTGGTGAAACGTTATAAAATCCCAGATAAAATCCTCCATGTTATAGAAAATGCAAGTCTAGCTAACCTGTATGTATAACGCTGTTTTTGGAACAGAGGTAATGTTTGTTTTTGCTCCAGAGACTTGCCGAAGTCAAATCGCGCAAAGCTACAAAAAAGACGTAAAAAACTCTCTGAATAGCTCGCTTGCTTAGCAACGTGGCGTACAGCATAGAAGCGTTCAGTTCCGTCTTTATTTCTGTGTTTAAAAAAAAAACTACAGAAGTGTTTTGGAAGCCGCCGTGCTTCGTATGAAGTCAGTAAGAAGTTGTCAGATTTAACCGTTACGTTTTCGAGTTGAAAACTGGGCGTAAAAAGTGTTATTCTGTTTTTCCTCTGGGAGCTTGAAGCTAAGAGCTACAGCTTGCCTGCTGTAAATGGTTGACGCATGCGCAGAAAGTTGCGTCCCGTTAAAACTGAGTAAAGTTTTTCCTTTCGGTTAAGAAAGTGCATTTTATGCTAGGAAAAGATTCGCCTTGTTTTCTAAAGTGAAAAAGAAACACTTTGCTGTGTGTTTTGTGGGCAGATCCATTCTGTTTGAAAGACAGAAGAGTAAACACCTCCTCCTCACTTGAACCTTCGTTTGTCAGACGACGCTCTAGTTATTTTCATCTAGTGGTCAAGTCAAGTGATTGCAACGAGTTGACACTTGTTGAAAGCTTTAAACTTTGTTTTTTCATCTGAAAAGAGTTTAAACTATGGGGCTGTTTACATGGCGCATATTTTGAGTGCATCCGCAGGTTTCTCTCTGCGGTTCTGCTGATCATTTACACGACACCAGTGGCCCCCCTCTTTGAATCCGGAGGTTTCTAAACCCACCTTACAGAGTGGAGGTTTTTCGCTGACCCCCCCGCTGATACTGTAAACATCTCCCACTGAGGCTTTGTGTTAAACCACATGCGCACACGCACGCGCGGACCGACGCTATATTTCTATCAGCATGGCGGCGGACACACTGCTTTCAGAACTACGACTGATGGGATATATTTTTAATCTCGTAGTTAATCTACGTCAGATTCCAGGTTTCTGTGACAGACATCTGTGTTGGAAGAGACACAGTCTGATCCAATTCTAATGTCGCTGTTTATAGAACGAGGCACGCGCACATATTGCGCTGCACCATAACATTTAAATGTGCTAAATAATACATTTAATAATAATAAACAGTATTTATCTTAAATTTGAGATATATAATGAAGCTCTCTGAGCTAAATGAAGCTATCTGGACATTATGTAATTCAAATTATGTGATTAAAATGATGCTAAACATATTGCATGCTATTAACGTTGAAAATGAAGACATCAGGTTTAATTTTTATTTTATTTATTTATTCAACACCACAAACTGATAATTAAACTGAACATTGAATGGACTGAATAAAAGAACTGAGGGGAATTTTAAATAAATAGTTCATTCATCATCTCTCTTTGACGTCCTGCTGCCGAGCCTCGTTCAGAACCGGTCCGCCTGGTGGAAGGACAGCTCCTTCTTCTTTCAGGAAAAAATAAAAACTCAGTTGGTTGTTTTGTAACAGAAGTAAACACAAGCTAACATTATTAAGAATATTTGATTTACCTGCTGTAAAACAGCTACTGATTATTATGGAGTAAAGTCCAACATTGTGACTCGGTTCTGGTCCACTAAGCGACTGGTGTGGAGCTGTTAGACGAAGCGGTCCCGCTTGGCGTCAAATCTGTCTACTCTTTTATCTAAAATCCAGCCAGAATCCAGCTTTAACTTGTTGTTAAGTTGTTGTTAGCTGAGCTTTTTAGCTCACAGGAAATAGCGTGCCGAGGCAGCACGCATGCGCATTAGGTGAAGGTACAAAATTCACAGCGTCATCTAATGACCCGGCATGGTAACTACAGCGGATTCGGGAGGGCGGAGGGGGGGGGGGGGGGGGGAATCTTGCAGATGCATGTAAACCCAAAATACGACCGTGTCAACGCGGATCTTTTCTTCCAATTAACATACGAAAAAAACTTTGTTTCCCCCCCATCGTGTCCGTGTAAATAGGGCCTAAGTTTATTCATCTGATAAATATGTTTTAAACATAATTATCAACATTCAATTCTGGAAAGTAAACAACTCTGGTTGTTTTACTTTGATATATATGTTTTTTTTTCCCTCCCAGGCTCTGATCGAGGTGGCAGCTTCTGTTTTTTCCTCCCCCGTTTTTCCTTCTTCCTGCTCTGCTCTCTGTGTATTTGAAGTGCCTGGGTCTCATCTCCCGAACATAAATTAAGAAGATTATGGATTTGGTATCGTGGGCGTTCAACTCTATTGATAAGATTTTTTCATCAAAACGACAAGGTCATGGAGAACCGGCGTGTCCAGCTGAGTCTCACGCTGTGAGGTATGTCATGGATTCGTGGGCAGTGTGGCAGATGATGTGTCTGTCAGTCCTGTCTCAGGAGGATGTTGAAGACGTGTATATATTTAAAATTATGATAGCAGGGACTCTGCTTTTTGGCATCGGTGTGGCTCTGCTCTATTTTGTATAGGCTTCACCCTTTAAGAGCTGTCGCTGATGGGATTTATCCAGTTATGCGAAGCAAATGCCATCTTGTAATTTTCCTCTTATCGCCAACCTCGGAGCGAATCGGATGGTTCCTCCGGGACAGGCGACGTCAGCAGCAGCCCCCGCTGCCCAT